ACCTATTGGGTTTACTATACTACCTCCCCAAAATAGTCCTCAGTGCCTCCACCGTATTTCTTGTTTCAGAAGTAACCACTTTCACCTGTTTTAGCTGATGGTTTGATTTTTATGACCATGTCATTCAATAGGATGGTTTTTTGTTGTTGTTGTTTTTAATTAGGGAATTGGGGGAGGGGAACAGTGTTGGGAAATTGGGGAGGGGGACCAGCCAAATCATTGCTCTTCAATCCTAGCTGTGGAGGGCGCCAGTTGCCATCCGGCTGCCCGTCAGCAGCTCGTGGCCTCCAAGCCCAAGGCGCTTTGCCACAATCTCAGTTGTGGGTGGGGGTAGCCACCACTCCATGCCGGAGTCGAACCTGGCAGCCTTGCTGTCAAGAGCGCGCGCTCTAGCCACTGAGTCATCCGGGCGGCAGCTCAGATCAAGGTGCTGAGTTCAGTCTTAATAGCAGGTGGGCGCAGTCCACCATAGAGCAGGCAGTCTTACTGTTAGGAGCACGTGCTCTCACCAGCTGAGCCATCCTGCCACCTGTTGGCAGCACAGCAGCAGATCAGCTCCGGCGCAGCGCCACTGGCCCATGTGGGAATTGAACCTGTGGCCCTGTTGCTCAGAGCCTGCGCCTGTAAGCCAACTCTCAACCAACTGAGCCACTCGGCTGGCCCCCTCAATAGGATGTTTGATTGTTCGGGGTTTGTCGTCCCACTATGGCAGATAAGGATTTAGCTCTCTTCCCCTCCCACGCCCCACCCCATCACACACATACTCCCTTCCCCAAATTCCACCTTCCCAATATAATTAATAAGATCACTTTGATTAGATCAGTATTCTTCGTTTATGTTACTGTTATATCTATGTTTGTTATTAAGAGCTAACTCTTGTAGTAAAATTTAGATTACATTATTATTTCCATACAGCATGTAGTTTTTCATGAAGTTAATAATTGTCTTGTTTATTTTTCCCGTTTGCTTGGTTTTCTATGTATTTACCAACCCCAGAGTATTTGAAAGTTGTTTAAACTTTTCAAGATGCTCAGGTTTATCAGGTTTTCTCTCCGTTTCATCTTCCTGAAGCAGTCTTTCCTGGGGCCTGGAGTCTGCTTCAGGTGGCCCGGGCCGCCCTGTCTGCTGGGCACACAACTGGCTCTTGGGGTTGCCATTCTCTTTCAGTCTGATGGGTCGCCAGTCTCCATCAGACTCCTGTGCTTCTTTCTTGTAGTGGCTTGTCTGTCTTCCTCTTTCTTGGTTTACACTTCTTTTTGGAACATCCTTTATATATTCCAGTAGCTTCCAGAGAATAGAATGCCTGGAAGATGATGTTTAAATTTATTTTTTGAAACTCTGCTTGTTTGAAAATGTCCTTATTATATGTAATTTTTTCTCTCTCTCTCTTGTAGGATCTTCACTTTGTCCCCAGGGTTCTAAATTCCATAATGATGTATCTTGATGTGGGTCCATTTGTATCCAGTGTCCTGGGTATTATGTGTCCTTTCAATCTGGAAACTCCTGGCCCCTTAAATTGGGGGAAATTTTCTCAAATTTTTTAACTGATACTTTTCCCCCTTCTGTCTTCTCTGTTGTCATTTTTTGGAGCTTCTATTACTTGGATATTGGATTTTCTGAACTGGTTTCTATTTTTTCCACACATTTTTGTCTTTTTGAATTTTTATTCTTTACTTTTTGGGAGATTTTCTCAGCTTTATATTCCATCTCACCTCTTTTATTGAGTTTTTCTTTTCTTTCATATTTGGAATGCTCTTTACTTTGGAATGCTCCTTTTTTATATTATACTGTTCTTGTTTCGGCACTGCAATAAATTCTCTTAACTCTCAGTGGGCATGTATGTGCTTAGTGTTTTTTGAAGTTTTCTTCTTCTTACGTGGTCACTGTCCTCCAAGTTGCTTGTTTCTATTTGTTTTTGTCTCTCAGTTTTATATTGGGGGCTTTCTAAAAATGCCTGGAGGTCCTTTATTTGTCTGTAGGGGACCAAAATGCTGATTGGAAGCTCTGAATGCATGCATAGGGTTTGTCATCTGTGAGCTTTGTCATAGGCTGATCACAGGAAACCTCCAATGTCAGTATTCTTAGTTGTCTTCTCTTGGGCTGGTCAACTTTTTTCGTTCTCCTACCTGGAGGGTAAAAAGCCTGCTTGTTAGCATTCTGGGAACCAGAAGATGGCTGGTGGTCTCAGCATCTGATATGCATAATTCCATTTATTTGCCTTCAACTATGCTCCCTCCCCCCGCACCCTTATCCAGACACCCTCTCTTTTACTCTCTATAGAAAACAGACCTCCAGTTATTTGCTGGGTATGTGGGAGATGGGCAGGTATCCCAGGTGTGTGGAACAGGGGAGGCCATCCAGGGATCTGAGTCCTTCTGAGATAGTTGTCTAGCCAGGCCTACTTACTTTATACTTCCTCGAACCCCGGCCCTTTAGAGCTTCTAGGAGATACAATGATGAGATGGATCTTCCCCCCACTGGTAACTTAGGATTCAGGTCTGCTATGCCATTTGCCACTCTTCCATCTGCATTCTAACGTTCAGTATTTTGCAGCTAGTGTCTCCTATTTTATTCTCCCTGTTCTTGTTGGCATATGGCTTTTGGAAAATCATTTTACAGCTCTTTACTTCGGTTTTGGGGAGAAGCAAAGGTAGCCTCATGCATTCAGTCTTCTATTTTTATCTGAAAGCCTTACCATTGCTGTTTATTTACTAAACCTCCCAAGGGTCTGCCGTTTTTAAAAGAAAAATTCAAAGATCCATAGTAAACACTCCAAAATATACTTCAGAGAAAGAATGATCAGACCATAGTCCTTTGATTACAAGAATTCAGTTATTCAAGATGTTTCTTTTAAGCCAAGGCTGTTCAAAAGATTTAGTTCCACACCCACAACTTCTTTCCTCTTTTTCCATCGCCACCCTCCCCCCAGCTTGCACCAGCTCTCATTGTGACATTCAGTCCAAATTGAAATTCTTTGTGGAGCAACTGCAGGGGGGCATCTGTGGGCAGAGAATGAGCTAGCTTTGGGGAGGTAGAAAGATGAGGGAGGTGGGCGCAGTGCAGCACGACACTTCAGATCCATGTCACACTTTCATCAAGACCCTTGTGACCATCCTCTAGCCTCTTTTTACTGGCTTGGGATCAGAGCAGTGATTCTCCTTAAAGCTGTGGTTTTCCTTCAAGCCCAACAGAAGCTATGCATATCACCGGATTGGCTCTGGCATCACTGAATTTTGTTGTCTCTTTAAAGAGGAGCATGCTTTCTGCTTCTTAGTCAGCTGTGGAAAAAGTGATCTCAAGAGGAGCCATTCCGGTTCCAGACGCAGGATGGAACTTACAAGCAAGTTTGAGAGAACAGCTGCCTCTGTGGTGGGTTTCCAGCTGTCCCGACTATGCCCATCTGTATTCCTCCTCCAAGCTTTTTCCTAATGACTTCCAAACTTGATATCATATCTTACTTATTCAAACTTGATATCATATATTTTTTTCCTTAAGTTTAAGTCTTTGTTTCCCATGTAAAATTTTGTTTTTCATCAGAGGAGTTGTGCAACGTATTTCTTTGGATCTAAGTTGGTAGAGTCTCAGAGGGTAATGAATAATGACCTCTATATATCCCTGAGTTCTGAATTAGTTGAGAGACAAGCCAAGCATATGGAGACCAAAATCTAACCTTTATTATTGATTTTTACTGATAAAGCACTTTGAAAATTGGCTCGTTAGGTCTGCTGGCCAATATGAACCTATTAATATTTTGACCCTGAATATGACATCTTATCCACTCACTGACCAAATTGGATGGTCACTGACCACTCCATGAGTGTGTAACCCTCTAAAACTTAAAACAAGAAACAGAAGGATATCTCCTGCAAAAGAGTTAGTATGGGGCTGAAAGAGAGGCCACGGGTGTTACTCTAATGGATCATGAGGAGTGCAGAACTGAGTTACTGTTATGGAGCATGAGGAGCAGAGACCTGTGTTCTGTAGTGTGAGGTGATGTCAGTTCCCCTTAAGACACACCATCAATTTATAGCAGATGCTCAAAAAAAAAAAAAAAAAATATATATATATATATATACATACATATATATATATGTATATATATATGTATGTATATATATTAAACTAGCTTGTATGACACATTCACATTTCAGAAACATTATAATCATTTCCCCATCTTAGAAGTAAGGAAGTATGGTGTTATAAGTTATCAGTCATTTGTGACTTTGGTAAAAGCCTTCTCCACTGTTTGGACTAAGTGGTGGGCACACCCTCTGCTAGGGTGGGGAGCCCCAGCTGGAATTCCAGCCTTGTTACAAACTAGCTGGGATCCCAGTCCTTGGCTCCACGGAACCTCTCCAGGCCTGTTTTTCATCTGCTCACTGAGGAATGGGGGACCAGCCCAATATATTAGTAGATAAAAAGGGTGAGAGATATAAGACCCGAACTTCCATAGCTAATTAGTTTCAGAGTTGGGACTAAAACACAGATATCTCCCTTCCCTCATCTCATTGCATTTTACTCTATCCATTTTAGATGGACCTGAGTTTAGACAAAATAGTTTAGCAGACTAGAAATGACCATCCCTTCATTCATTCGTTTATTCAGCAGACCCTTTTTTTATGCCAAGTGTTGTGCTAGGCGATGAGGATGAATAGGCCATGTTCTTGCCTCCGCAGCAGCACACAGCCTGTGACCTTATTGTTTGCAGCTATCAGGGACCACCTCAGCCACCGCCATTTATTTATAGCCTCACTTAAAGGGCTTCAACTGACCCCTGGGAGAGATCCAAACCTCCTTGGCTGCCCTGAACCTACCATCCCTCTTATGCTTTCCCTGAAACCTGGAATAATGAATGCCCCTTCAGTTGACATGACCCACCTCCAAGAATGGGCTCATACCGTCTTAGCACACAGGCTCTTCAAGTGCCTAAAGAGAAAAAATAAAATAAGGTCCAGAGCCATGTACTGGCCTCATTGTGGCTTTTCTGTTCCTGTTTATAGGGTGCTCAAGCTGGCATTACTACGTCACCATGCCGATGCCAGCCTCCACCTTCACCATTGCAGTGGGGTCCTGGACAGAAGTGAAGGCAGAGACCTGCTCATCGAATGACCTGGCAGCAGAAAGAAGAGGCTTCTCACCTTCTGATGCTGACTTCGGGTTTGTATTTCAACTTGCTGAAAAACAAACACTTGAGGGAGCAGAATGATGCATTTATTCCAAGCATTGGGAATATGAGTCATCCCTGCTGAGAAACTAAACCAAAATATGATTAATCAAAGCAGGAAAGGTCCTACTGGGAGGGAAGGAGAGTTGAAAGACAGAAATGTGGGCATATTGTTTATGCAGAAAGAACGAGGAAAGAAAATAAGTATATATGAAATCCTCTGTGAAGTGAGGTGGAATGAAATATTTTTGTGTGTTTGCATTAGTCAACAGACTCTTCAGATTCAATACTATGCCTCTCTCTACACCTTTTAACTTCTCAGTGCTTACTTGGTCGGAAACACAACTTAATAAAAAGAAGTTGCTTGTCTGATGACTCCTTTGTAGGCCACTGTGCTGTTTTTCGGTTCCAGGGACTGCTGTTAGCAGTGCGTTTGTAGGAGCGGCCTTCCCTCAGTGTGCGGTCTGCCTCCATAGACGCGCAGGACACACGGAGGCTGGCACGAGACCTGGGCCAGGGCTCTGTTAGCTCCCGTAGCAATTCCTTCTTTTTCAGAGTGGGTCAGAAAAAATCAGTTTAAAGTTTTTAAAAATTAGTGTAGGCCATTGGATATTCACTTACAGCCTTCCCAGATGTTCAACTGTTTCTGGCTTTGCGAGCCAGAGGGGGCAGGGGAATGCATGTAAGAGGCACGGAGCGTGCCATCCTGCTTAATTCCTGGGCCTTTTCCACGCGGCTCAGTTTTCCTATTTACAGGCAGTCAGTGAGTCGGTACCTTCTGTTGGAGAATGTCCAGAGTCATGGGACAGGGGGTTAGTTCATCCTGGAAAACCGAGTAGATAGGCCTTTACCGCAGATTTCTTAGTGTTGGGTTTTTTTGTTTGTTTGTTTCTTTGTTTTTTGTTTGTTTGTTTTTTTAAAGATTTTTATTGGGGAATTGGGGGATGGGAACAGCGCTGGGGAATTGGGGGAAGGGGAACAGACAAGTTGCTGTCCTTTTGTTCTTCAGTCTAGTTGTAGAGGACATTGCTTCACTGGCCCAAGTTGGCACCATCATTGTGCTTTTCCCAGGCGAGGCAGATCAGTCGCCGGCTTCTGGACGGCTGCTCATGGCGGCTGCTGGCCGCTCACGCTGGCTGCTGGCTACACATGGTAGCCCATGGCAGCCCACTGCAGCAGGGGCTGCAGCCTACGCCATTGCCGGCAACTCACGGCAGCCCGGCTCCAGGTTGAGCTGTTGTTCAGCATCTTAGCTGTAGAGGGCAGTGTCACTGGCCCTCATATGTGGGATCCGAACCGGGGCCCTCTGGCGTCCCAAGCCAGCTCTTAACCAACGCGCCACTAGGCCGGCCCCTTAGTGTTGGTTTTGCTTCACCATGTTGCCTTCACTCTTTCTGCAGTGACTGGAGTGGTTGGCATGGTTAGGAGATAAAGCTGTTGAGCCCTGCCCATGACAGGCATGTCTTATTGCCTGCATTTTGCTTTTTGAAAGAAGGGAGGTAATGTTCACTTCCTGCTCAGTAACTTGCCTGTTTTGGACTATCTTCCCTGAGCTGTCTAGGGTTCTTAGATTGCTTATTGGATTTTACTTATGCGCTCTTGAGAAGAGAATTGTGGATAGACATGACATGTCACTTTCATGTAGGGACATTTAATTGCTTCTGAGACCCTCAGGGGCTCTCTTCCCCTGCCACTGAGCTCACACGGTACGCCTCATTTTGCAGTTCCGGGTAGGCCGGATTTCTCAGTAGGGAGGACAGGTGCCCTGGGGAGTCACTTGGATCCATAGTAGGCTTGGTATGAGGGAGAAATAAACTTTTTTGTGTTAAGCCATTGAAATACTAGGAATGTTTGTTACTGCAGCGTGTCCTAGCCTATCCTGAATTGATACAGAAGCCGTTGGATGTTTGAAGTCAGGGAAAGTCCTGATCTGAATGTCATCTTGGTAGTCTTGAGGATAAGCCTGTAAGATAAGTAGGCTTTATTATTTCCATTTTATAGATAAAATAAAGATACTGAAACTTCAGGGTAGAGCGTGTTCATGTTTCTATCCCTACTGAGATATAACACTTGGATTCACGTCTGGGCTCAGCTCTCTGGACAGGTGATTCAGAAGCTTACCTGGGCACCTTTAAAAACTGTGCATAACATCCACACCTTACCTGGAGTCAGCCACCTTCCCACCTGGAGAGTTGGCGCCGTGATTGAGTCACTGTTATTAATTGGATTGTGTCGTGTTGGAACAGAAAACAGAAGTTGAGAGCACTGCCTTTGAGCCCGAAGATGCCATCCTTATTGGTTGGGTATGTCTCTTTGGACAAAGCCACACTTCCCTTTGCTGTAGAATAAAGAGTTTGCTTAGGATTCTCCAATTCTTCGTGGTGAAAAAGCACCTGCTCTTCACCTACAGCCTCAAGGTCGATTGTCTGTTAGAGGAGGCATGCAGTTAAAAAATGAGCACCTTAGGAAGGCTGGGGGAAAGCAAAGAAGGAAATTTGGTCATTTTGTCCTTCTAGCCATATTCCCAGAGATGGGGTGGGGACGTGGGCAGCACCCATTTCCTATGTGCTGTCTCTGCTGTCCAGAAGCAACTGAAATGACTTCTCACTTTTCTTGCTTCCAAAATTGCAAAGGGAAGAGTACATGGCCAAATGAAGTGGGGATTCTGGGAAGGTCTAGTTCAAATCCCTGTTGGAGTTTAGGGGAGAAAGGATAAATATGACCCCTCTGTTGTCTTCCTGAGTTGAGAACCAATTGAGAAACAGGAGAACAAAATAAAGGTTTTATTATTGACAGAAGCTGGTCTGGGGGAGTGCTCAGGTGTACAGGGTTAATGAGCTTTGTAATACTCCATTTCCAAGTGAGATAAACTTCCCCACCCAGTTACCCACCCAGCTGGGCCTCTGCCAGCCTCCACAACATAGATGCACACAGCCTGCTTAACGGCCAAAAAGTACCCCCTCTGTGGGCAAGCAGATTCAAAAAGACAAGGCCCAGAGTTGCCCAGCCAGTGTGGTCAGCTGGAGAGAGAGGTCAAGGGCGCCACTGCAGGGAAGCTAGTCTTTGTATGGAAACATGAGGCTTGGGGAATGGCGTCCCCCCACACTCCCTTCCATGTCTGACATGCTATGACTAAGTTTTCCCTTCATTTATCACTGTGCTTGTCCATCAGAAATGTACTGCTGATAAAATAATAGCTTACATTTGCTTAATCCTTCTCTGGCTGCGTGCTTCATGTGCGCTGTCTTTAGTCATCAGAGGGTGGCTTTGTGTTTTTATCCATTAAATCTCTGGCTCCACTCTAAGTTTGCCAACAAAGGTGCTCTGAAGTGCCAACTGAAGTGGTGTTTTCGGTTATGTTCACATCTGGTCCCCTTGCCTTCCCCCACCCCACTTTGTACTTCAAACCTTCCTAAAACCACTAGTTCAGTTCACGTAAATGTAACTTTTACAGGGGCTGCCTATACAGGCTTTCATTTGCCTAAAGTGTTCATCTGGGTCCCAGAAATTTGGCCAAAGCGTTGGCCACTGAACTTTTGATCACTGTTCATATGGGCCAAGTTATAGGGAGAGCAGTCCCCCTTCCAGCTCCAGCTCCACACACTGTCCGGCCCACTCTGGGCACAAGCATTTTAGTAAATACACTAGTCGTAAGGCACTTAGATAAACTGTTGAAAGTTTATTCATTTCATTTGGCTGCGCATAACCTTCTTTGGCCACAAGAGAATCTTGGTATTCTGTTTAACCTCTCGCGGCCTTTGTTAAGGCATTGTCTGTACTTTGGGGCCACACAGTTTAAGTAGGACACTTGGATAAAGTCCAGAGGAGCTCAGCAAAAATTAATAAAAGCATGGAAATAGGCACCGCGAAGCATGGAAAAGCGCGGAAGAGGCACTGAGGTTGTTAGTCCTACCGAAGGGCAGACCTGGCAGGGGTGGTGGGGGTGGGGAGGTCATCTTGAGAGATGTCAAGTTGGTGAAAAGTTCCCTTGTGGACCCTGGAGGATGAGGTCCTGTTTCTCTCTCTTTGAAAGTCTAGAAAAGAAAGAATGGTGGGTATAAATCTTAGAGGGCAGAAATGCCAGTTTCTAGTAAGCGGGAAAGTGTATATAAAGTGTTCACAGAAAAATACTCACGGTGAAAGGAGCCTTTGCATATCTGCCCGGCCTGGTTGGATTTCTGCAGCCCTTGCTGCCCCAGGGCCTCTTATCACACATATCTCGTTTTGCTTTGTAGTAGACTGAATACCCTAAGAAAACACATCCAGCTTTCAGACACTACTAAGTCATCGTATATATTGACGTCGTCGTCAGCCACACATAGGGGGCTGGTGAACAATTGTGATTTTTAGCAGGCATCTACTCTGCTGGCTACAATATATTAGTAAATTGTGTAAACATCTTACGTGTCACTGAACTTACCAGAATTTACAATTTTTTCTCCCAACAACACTGTAAACTCCTGAAAGGTGCGGTCAGAGGTTTATTCACATGTGTGTGTACAGCAGCACCCTGTGGGGTGCCTTCACTGACAAGAATGTAGGATATATTGTGTTGTCGGAAAAGTCACAACGCATTTTTGCAACAGAAAACATAGAAAAAATACATTGTGACTTTTCCGACAACCCAATATTTACTGACTTGCCAGGTTGGACCAAGGGAGGGGGTGTGAAACGAGAATGTGCATTCCCAAGGGAGACTTACCAGTGACTTCCTTTAAACCCATGACAGGGAAACATCTGTGTCAGATGGTTTCAGCACAGCCCTGCCTCGAAACAAGAGGATGGCTGAAGGAGAGCCTCTTGAAGCAGTTTCCAATCCTGTGATTCCAAGTAAAACACAGCCACTCTTACTCCTTGGAGAGACCGCTTAAAAAGTCATTTTAGCCCAGCATTGTGTAAGGGAACCAGTCCGTGCTCTGCTTCCCGTCATTTACCAGCCTAATATATAGGCTGCCTTCTCCTTATCCTTGGCAATATCAATGGGCAGTATTGACAAGGAGGAACAGGAAAGTGAAGAACCAGAGAGGAGGTGAGCTCAGCTTTGAGAAAACTCCAGGAGCCACGTTTACGTCAGAAGCACAATGAAGTACCTGGAGAAGGAGCGTCAGGAGGGAGGAGCTGATGGTGACTCACGACATGATGAATAGTTCTGATTCCTTAGGAGTGTTGTGTGGAGTAAGTGGGAAAGTGTATATAAAGTGTTCAGAACAGTGCTTGGCACATAGTTTAATAAATGTAAGTAGTATTTGTGGCAGGAGTTATTAGTGTTATTATTCTTATTAGTATTACAGATTATTAATAATCAACAATCAAGTACTATTATTAATCTTTACTATTAAAATGCATACTCTAATTACAAGTCTGGCACAAGGAACAGCTATTTACAAACGCTTGATTTGTTGCTGATATTGAGAGCATATTGGAACAGGCACATATGTATACAACGATTTGTAACTGAAGGTTAGTCTGAAGGGAAGCTAGAGGATCTTTGAGTCAATATTCGTCTGTGGAAGACTACTCATGACTTTATAAAAGTACAGTGTTCCCTCACTACTTCCGGAACGTGGCTGCTGTATGAAGAGGGGCTCCTGTGGTGAGTTGTCATAGAATCACAGTGCCAGTGGAAACCTTAGAAACCATTTTAAGTTTTTTGTTTGTTTGTTTTTAATACAACACAATGCACAGGTCTTAAGTGTTCAACTTGATGAATTTTTGACGATTGCAAACACGCTGACACAGATAGAGAACATTCCATCACCCTAGTGAGCTTCCACACACCCCTTTCCAGCAGTGCCTCCCCTGCCCCGGCAGCCTCTTCTGTGAGACCATGGCAGAGGTGAGGCAAAGGGGCACCAGGACTGAGTCGCTTGCCGCAGGACCCAGTTAGCCAGTTGAACTTTCTGGATCCCCATGTGGGAACCCGGAACCCATGGTGGCCTCCCTGATGCCATTCCCATTTTTATTTGAAGCCTTAATGCTATCACCTACCCATAGCTTGATTGCCTTAAAGTCCTGCATTTTTCTCTGAGGCTTTGATTATGAAAAATGGTGTTAATTCACCCAACTGGGAAAAGCCTTTATTACCTTTGCTAGTGCCTTTCATATCTAGAGAGAATTTAACTCATTTTTTTTCTCTTAAACGAATTGGCTTTTATGGTATATCTTTGGCTTACATCAAACTATTCTCTAACTTTTAGGGTTCCTGGCTGCAAAAAAATAGTCTTGCTCCATGGTGTGTTTCTAGATAGGCCAATGGAATGCCTCTTTGCAAAATTGTGCTTTGATAGATAGAATTTAAACCTATGCCCCAGCTTTATCCCGAAGATGCCTCTTCACCTCTAATTTCTCCATTATTTAGCGTGTTCTGAAAGCTTTCCAGCAGAGAGTGCAAGTTTAAATTACTATAGCACGTTATATACCTATGTAAGTACATTAGGAAACAGTATTGTGGTGATTAATTCAATAAATGGCGTTTTTCACTTTGTGAGACCTTTGATTACATTGATGCTCCAGCACAGTACTAGTCATTATGTAGATACTGCAGCCTTTTTAGTTAAATATTTACCAACAGGTACCTTTACTCGCTTTCTCCGTAAAGCAAGATTATCAACCCTGGGACTTCGGCTAGCATTTCATATCAGTAATTGTATCCTTCCTGTCACCTTATCCTGGTGACAGGATAGTTTTTATGGGTCCTCACCTATTATTTCCACCCTCTACTGTGATGAAACATCGTTAGTGCTGGAAGCTGTATTCTGTGCACCGCAATGGACCACAAGTGGAGAGTGAGGCTTATCTCCATGGCTCTGGGGATTTCCTTGGGCAGTGTTGGTCCTGGATGGTGAAAGGCACTTCAGAAATTTGGAGAGGTGTTATTGTTTCAGTCTGCCCATGTTAGGACATACCAGTATTTTCAGGTTTTTCAGTGTTCACTGTGAATCTAATAAACCCCTATAGTTAGAATTATAATTTGTAAATTAAAAGTAGAGGGGCTTTCCATTGTGTTTGAATAAAGGATGCGTTAACAGGTGAAAAAATAGAGTTCCCTTTCATGTCGGTTTTTTTTTTTTTTTTTTTTTGTAGATAAGTTCTCTTGGGGCCTGTGAGTCAGATTCTAGGAATTCTTTTTCAGCTCCACCTTTGATGGAATAGCTGACAGTAGTCAGATAGTGCGGGCTGGGCTCTGATCTGTTTCCTTAAAAGGTTAATTCAGTTAAATTTGTACTGGAAGTGGATTAGGGAAAATACCGTATCAAAAGTGTCCCTGTATTTCTTAACAGCACAACACCAGGATTACTTTTCAGTAGATGGATTGTGTTCTTTTGAAAAGTTGGAACCTGTACTGTCATTTGGTTCATTGCTCTCTACTTAAGTCCCCATCTTTTATACTAGGAAATTTCAGAATGGGATCTTTATTTTGGTACACCATTGCTTCTTTTCTGAGTTATGAATCATCCCTGATTTGGAGAGGATTTTTCCCTTGGTGATATTTGAAAACACATTTATGAGGACAGAAATTGTTTTGTTTTGTTTTTGTTTTGGCAGGGGGTTGTTTTGTTTGTCTTTTTAAATTTTATTGGGGAACAGCCATGGTCATTGGCTACACATTGCTTTCATGTGACAATGGCACAGTTGACTCTTTTAGGGAGAGCGCAGCTCACAGTGGCCCATGCAGGGATCAAACTGACAACCTTGGTGTTATCAGCACCACACTCGAACCAACTGAGCTAATTGGTCACCCCTTGTTTTGTTGTTTTGAATCTTCAGGCTTCTGTCCCCTGTTTATTCTAAAACACGATTTTACTACTTTCGCTTAGATTAGATTGAAACTACTCGATTGGTTTAGCACATCAGTAAGTATGGTGACCTGTAATTCTTCACCACTGCACAGAAACAGACAAGCGAAGAATTCAAATAACTGTCTTTGCTTGTGAGCCCATCTGAACTGCTGTCTCCTAGAAGTTGGCCATGTCTGTGAGGGTTCCTCACTCCATGGCCAGACGAGTAAACCTGGTTTACCGTAAAGTGCATCTGTTTGTTTTGTGTTGTTCCCAGGTGTGTTGGTGTTTGTTGCCACATGGAATACCCCTGCCGCTTCCAGAATGCTTCTGCCACCACCCAGGAGATCATTCCTCATCGGGTCTTTGCCCCAGTGTGCCTCCAAGGTGCCTGCCAAGGGACTCTTCTGCCACTTGTCCCTCCTTGCCTCTCAGCAGCATACTCTGTCCTGAGAACACACCCGTTCTCCAGGCTGGATGTGCTCGTCGTGCCTGCCAACTTTCCAAGTCTGGGGATGGCCAGGTATGTTGTTCCGCTGTGACACGTCAAGAGAATATGCTTTGAAAAATTCTTGGGCTGTTTCTTGCTTTCCCTGAGCTCTGTCAGAGCTGTCATTTGATTAGGATGGAAGGGCCATGATGGCTCGTACTTGGACATCTCATTGCTGCCCTGAGGGATAGTTTGTGTATAGGCTCCACCATGCATGAGCCTTTGGGTGTCTTGGGCTCAATTCAGCTGCCATAACAATAAAATCACATTGTTGCTGGGATTAGGAACACATTGTGCCCCCAGAGTGATGTACGTTGGATCGTGGCTGATCAGTGGCTGGTTAGCTTAGGTGGTGAGAGCTTAATGCTCATGAGCCCAAGGTCATGACTCTGAGCAGGGTGACACAGCTTGGTGCCAGGGCCATAGGCTGCTTGCCTAATCCTGGCCAGCTGTCTCATCCATTCTTGCCATTGGTCACAAGGGCAACAACTTGAGAGTCCCTGTGTCAGAGAGACTGTAGATGGATCAGTGTAAATCCATCACCAGAAAAACAGCTCAAAGCAGATGGCTTACTGGGGGTAGGGTGAGGGGAGGGGAGGGACATGTTTTGCCACTAATTTTTAGTACAATAAATACGTTATTCTTGTTGTCTTAGTTTGTTGCCCATAGAAAATCAAGACCTGCAAGTTGAACCTTTCCCTGCATATTATTTACACCTAAAATTCTTTCATTTGTGCCATTGCTCATTCAGTAATAGGTAGCTATGTTTCACTCAGCATTTTACTTGGTTATGTACTCAGGAGTTTACTTGGTTATATTTCTGTTTGAAAAGTTTTAATCATTAACAGCGAATATGCTTGACTAAGGATGGGAAAAATAAGCTCATCAAAACATGTGACTTCAGGTTTTTCCCTATTAGTCAAGGAAATTCCTGCTGCCAATTAATTTCCGTGCTTTTGAACAGCTGTCATTTGTGGTGTTTTACCTGAAAACTGCACACATTCTTTGTAAAACCCATGAGCAGAAAAGAACTGACCAGAACATTTGCTTTTGATCTTTACTACATACGAATACTTTTAAACAGCTGGCTGCCTTAATCCTTGAGGAGGTCTGAGAAAGTCATTTAGACTGATTTTTATCCTATATTTATGAAGATAATGGGAATGTAGAAACTAGGATAATTATATATATTTGGTTACATGCATCATATAATTGTCTTGGATGTCTATATATAGAATTTGTCTTAACAAGGGGGCTTCTCTGGTCCCTTTGAAGAGTCTGCTGGACTTAATTTAAGCAGAATTATTGGCAAAGAAAGGGTCGTTCATTAAATGTTTCTCATTTGTACACAGTTTTGCGGGGCCATGTTTATTTGGGAATTTTTAGCACTTTATGAGAGTTGCAGTTTTTCAGGGCGTGTTTTCTAACAGTTCCAAGTTCTGACCTGAGGGAACCAAAAGCAGAGTATTTTTCCTACCGAGGACCTTATTTTCTATAGCTCTTTCCTGACATCAGTCTGCCAAAACCAGGGTTTGTTGACCTGCAGGCCATTCTATAAAGCTTTTCTTTTCAAGTTTGCAGGCCCAAGCAGGTAGGCTGTATGTTTGCTGCTTTTTGAGATATTTAAAGTGATTTAAACATGCTTAACTCTGTATTTTTAAAGCAATAAGCCTAAGAACCCTAAGGCCAAATGGTACTGGGCACAAATGTCAAAAAATGTGATGGTGATAATAACTTAGGAGCAACAAGACTGCTTTTATGCACAAGAGAACTGTACATTTAAAAATTTGTGGTTGGTTGTCAAATATCATTTATTTTCCATTTTCCCCCCTTTCTTTTAAGACTGTGGAAATAGTCCTAGATATTTTTCTGGGCTTAGTTACTGTTCCCTGTGTTTGAGCCACGGAGCGGGGATTGTGGTAGCTTCCCCGGCCAGTTGGGGGGTGGGGGAGTTCTCTGTCTGTCCTGACTCTGACCTACATTGATTCCACTTGCTTGGCGTGACTTTCTCAAGATCCTAACACCTTGAGCCATGTGGGACCGAGTGGGGTTTATGATTCAGTTGGCTCCTGGGGCCCTGCTGCCTTCCTTCTAGTCAAGGCTTTGCTTGGGGCTTTGTAAAGCAAAGCTGGAACAAAGATGACACTCTTGCAGGTCACCTCGGTGCCCTAAACAGGAACAGAGAAATCCCAAGGCTGGTAGGAGCCGTCTGGAAAGACCTCCACATTGGAACTTGCCAATGCCCTGTTAGTTGTTATGCACTAGAGAGCAAAGGACTTCTTGGTAAATTAGATGGTTCTTCCCCGAGTCCACACTTTATAAGCATGTATGCAAGATTCTAAATTCCATACCTCTGGACTTCTTTAGTGATTAAGTCTTAAACCTAATGAATACCATTTTAGCATTCTTTTTTTAGTAAATGACATTAAACATTCCCACATGAACTGAAATGGATAAATTATTAATAACCATGTTAAAGAGTTTTTAAATTTTTGGATGATCTGCATAATGACTGCACTGTATTTTAAATATTACATATCATGGGTTGTCTGAATAACCTTAAAACTCTCCCTGAGTCTGTTTTTGAGCCTGATTCTGGTATTTCAGTGAAGGGGGTAAAAACACATTTGTACAACCTGAATGTATAAAAATTACAAATCAATTTATAAGAAGGTAAATAATATACAGTAATAGAATATCAATACTGCACTTCCTGATTTTTGTCACCTAGTAATATAATAGGGCCCATTACCTATCAACACCTGCCTCCAATCCTTTTCTGAATCACTGTTCTAGGGAAGAGATGCTTTTATTCTATTCTGATTCTGAGAAAAATCACCAGTTTGTCTTTAAAACACTACTGAAAGTTCCATTCCCATACTTTTCTCATTTAGTAAGTGTGGGCTTTCTGTTTTGTTTATTTTTCCCTTCCACGCAGGCTGAATCTGCCATATAAGGAGCTGTGGAGTGTACATTTCTTGGATTGTATAATATGATGTCTATACGAAGATGTGAATGCATTTTAAATGGATCTCCACTGTATAGAACAGCTCTCTCTGTGTCGGTGTAATTAGTGTTCCGCCATTTTCAGTGCATGTTCGTATTTTCTCAGGTGTCTCGGCTAGGGATTGACTAGTAAGCCTAATTTCCTAAGTATTGAGAAATACATGAAAGGAGCCCGTCATCATGCTTACACTCTTTGTTATAATAATAATAATGTTAATGGAATAATATCCTGGAACCAGATTTATGACAGTTGCTTAAAAATTAACACCTCAGTCTTACCTCTGAATGTGTTTATAATAAATGCTTTCCTTCATCATTTGTCTTTCAGCAGTTCACAATTACATGTCACGGGACATAATTAGGCTGGCACAACTACCTTGCTGACATCCAAATGCATTCTTTTTCTCCTGTCTTCTATCTGAATTTCAAGAATCTCCTACAAACCATTTCAGAGTGGTTTTATGTATGTTTAGAGCTCTGAATAAAAAAGCCGAGTCTTCTCTGTCTCTGCTTCCCAGCTCAACCAATCACAAGTAGCTATAGTCCTGGTCCCACTGGGAATACTGGAAAAACAAACAAACAGACAAACAACAAAGCAGCAGTGTGGTTGATGATAGGTAGCAAATTCTGCTTTGACCTTTTTGTTACTGGTTCTGTACCAGCTTGTCTTGTTCATCTGTTCATTGTTTGTTTACTCATTCTTGCAATACATTTCTATTACGCACATAATGTATGCCAGGTAGGATTTAAGATGCTGAGTCTACAAGGATGAACAAGATTGATGAGATCTCTGTCCGCACGGAACTTACATTCTACTCAGGGGAGAAAATAGTGTACATAAAAAAACAAATAATTCAGATATGTGCTATGAAGAAAATAAAACCAAGTAAGTAATAGAGCGACTTGGGATAGGTAGCATTGTTTGGGTGGGGAGGCAAAAGCTGCTTTAAAGAGTGACATTGGCAGTGAGACTGGATGACGGGAAGGAGCCAGCTTTGTGACAGCTTCGTGGAGAAGCAACCCAGGCTGAGAAAGTTCAAGCCCAAAGGCCAAAGGTGGGAACCCTTATAATGGCCTGGAGGAGCCGAAAGAAGGCCCGGATAGCTGTAGGGCACTGAGCTTTAGAATGACTTTCTTCACCCCCTCCTTAAACTCATTTAAGGAGCTGGGAGAGTCTACGGTCCATCTAGGCTTGGGTCATCTGAGCCAGGCACACACCCATATGAGGAAGAGTAAGAGGGAGCCATTGAGAAATGGCAGAAGTGGAGTAGGGATTGTTGGTTCCAGGCAGTCAGGTGTTACGGGGAGACACTTGTAAGAGGGCAACTCTTCTCTCGGTTTTCTGGGGACCATCAGAAAACTGTCTTGTGATGGACTTGTTAGAAGCTGACTTGGCTGAGTAGCTGCTGTCCTTGAGTGGAATTCTCCATTGCCAGGACAGGAGACTACCTGGAGCCCAGACTGGCAACTGTCCTTTGTGGTCTCAGGTCACCATGTTTCCTCTCCTCAGGGGCTGCTGACTGATTCCTTGCAAGCTTTTTGGACACAGTAGGTCACTGGGAGGGAGGCTGTGTTTATACGTTTGCTTATCCTAATTACTGAGCTTTTAAAAGACTGAACAAAAATAGGATTGATAAATAAAGAGCATAGAGAAATAATAGTCAATTACTTAAATATCTTCAGTGCACTTCATAGTAGAGAAAAACTATAAAGCTCCCTATTACACATGGCTTATTCTTAAAAGATTTGATTGTGCAATGAAAGGCTTCTTCTGAATGCTTATAATAGTTCCTGACTATTGCATGCACGGTTTTCTTAAGTACCTCAATTTGCAAATAAATGGTGTGCACATACATGCCCAAGAATGAATGTAATCAGCTTTCTCTCCTCCCCTCCTCCTGGCATGAGACTGGGTGTTGTCCTGTTTATTCTTATCTCCCAGCCAATGTGTAATAGAATCAGCAAAACATAACATGCTGGGACAAAGGGCTTCTTGTTTCCAGCCTTCTAATTGTGCTTCTTTCTGC